CTTAATACAGTTGACCATAGAAGGTTAAGTCAGGAGACTCATCCAGTCAAAACGAACGGGCCACAATCAGGGCCGCTCCGCGAAAAGCTCCCGACCCCCCCACCCCACTTCCCCCCGACAGGGCTGATTCTGCAGCACGTTGCATTGCTCTTTCACTGGTGAACCGCATTTGGCCTTGTTTTGGGCTCAAACACAAACATCCAGTGTGATGTCTTACTGCGCATTGACGAGATGTTCTTTTCTTATTTTATCTTTGAATAGTTCGAGTCAGCCGGCGCGCGTTTGTGCGTCGTCTAACATAAGCACAGTGTGTTTGCTCACAAAGCCACAGCTGATATTTCACTCCGGGGGGTGGGGGCCCCCCCCCCCCCACTTCCGTTTTTGGGACTTTATTCCTTCTTTGAACACTTGCCGAAGGGGGGTGGGCTTGGGGGGGGGGGGGGGGGGGCGCATAGCGGACACTGGTCTAGTCTGTTAAAAAAAAAAAGAAAAAAAAAGAAAGAAAAAAAAACACAAATTACAATGAGAATTGGTCACTTTTTCTCTCTCAGGGTTCAAATGCACACATATCCTCCATCAGTTACCCTCTGTCTCGTGTCCCTTCTAATAAGCCCCCCCCCCAATATGTAGAACAGCCTCCTGTGTTTTTAGAAACCGCTCTCCCCTCGTTCCCCCTTTGTGCACCGGTCTGAACTTATTTTTCTGTTTTGCTTTCTTTTGGCACTGACATCTAACCAACTAACATGGAATGAATGAATGAATGTTTGCAAGTGACTGTGTGATGTTAAAATTGGGAAATGTATTTTTACAACATGTGAACATTTTTTTTTCTCCACTCTGTGTGAATTGTTATTTGTTTTTTTTTGTTCTTTCACCAGACTGCAAAAAAAACAACACATTCTCATGTAACTAGGCTCTTAAGCTTTATTTTTGTTTTGTTTACTTTTTTTTATTAGAAACAATCATGTTTGTGATGGTAACTTCCGATGGTAAACTCCACACCGTATTTTAATAAAATCTTAAAAATTAAACCTTTGTTCTTGTGGTTACCTTTCAAAGTGACAGAATCTTTTCCGCTGGTCCCTAAAGTCTTATGTACTGAATATTTATTTGTTTACTTGATTACAGTGGTTAAATACATGGTGACCGTTGGTCCCACCGTTTACACTCAGATTTGGCAGAAAACCAAATTGTTTACTACCCCAGTCGGTCAGCTCTCTTACACGGCAACGAGTGACTATGCCGGAAAGGCCACAGCTTCACGAGCGGGCCGGCTGCGCCTGGTGTACGGGAAAAGGGGGCTTCTCTGCAGACCCACAGGGCAGAGGAAGGCGGCAGATTATTACCCCCAAAATTGCTACCACATGTGCATAACCAGGAGTGATGGCAGTACTCAAAGCTGAAGCTCCACTCACTGGAGTCACCCTCGGGTGCCTGCTGGCACCCTCACACGGGGTTTAGTTTGCTTGTGTCTTTAATTCTCATTCTACATCCAATAATGAGTTGTTTTTTTGCTTTGACATTGTCTTGGACAAAACTCAACATTGTAACATACAACATAACATTGTCACAAATGTTAAAAGGACTCGTGGACACAAGAATCAATGATAAGTGAAGCTGCAGAAGCTACATGCTTTCCAGGTCCTACTGGAGGTGGTGCAACAAAGTGTAGTAGAGCATCATCCACCTCTCCCAGCATCTTGCATTCGTCCTGTTGACCCTGTTTAGCTAAGATAAGGAAGAGGAAACACTGGTAAGAACCAGTCAAATGGAAATACAGGTTCCTGGGCTGCTGTTGGCTCTTAACCTCCGTACACTGCCGTGTGGGTCATCATGCTCAGCCTTAACTTTAATTTAGATTAAAATAAATTATCAGAACAATATAACACACTCTCGGAGCAACAGCAATAAATATATATAGTAATACATTTGTTTTCTTTTCTTTTTCTGAACATCCACCAGAAAAAACATTAGTCTTTTCTCATAAACAGTATGTCAAGTAATCAGGGTCCCTGTTACAGTGCGGTGGTCTAGCACACAAAAAAGTACACAGCTGGAATTGACTGCAAGGGACTTCTTAGACTGTAAGCTTATGGATTTCCTTTGGAGAATCTCAGTCAAAGAAAGAAAAACATTTCCAGGGGTGCAGGTTGAGCAGTTACACAGTGACAAAAACTTTTCATATCCATCCTTCCAACTTTACATTTTCTCACTCCTCTGCGCCAAGCCACTTGGTAAGAGGTCATTTACATTTCCACATGATAAACAACCTCTCGTCTACAAGAGGAAAACCTCCTCTCACAGGGTGCAGATGTTGCAGGTGTGGCCTGGTACTTCTGTGCACTGGAGGCCAGACGGCTGTGTGAGCCTGCACGTTGTCTGGTGCACGTTGCAACGCCGTCACTTTGCAGTCCGCTCAGTTTCATACAGCTCCTGTGTCCTCCGCTGCGTCTCAGGGGGGCTCATGCGTTTCATTTGTCTTGCACGTCACAGCCAACGTAGTCTGCAGGAGTTTGGCTCCACTGGTTGTTTGGGGACAGCTAGTTGGCTGGCATCAATGCTGTGCAACGCATTTAAGTGGTACCTCAGGCTCACGTACTCCGGCGATAAGATCCTTCCAGTTTGCAGTGGTTGCAAATGGCTTTTCTTTTATCCGCTACGCCGTCTGGTAGAGATTTTAAATGCCTTTTTAAAAGTGCAGCACCTTTCTCCATTTCCTCGGCCAATGTGCGCAGCAGTGTTAAGGCTAACGTGCCCAGCCCTAAAAAAAAACAAAAAACCTCAAAAATGGGTCAAAGGTCATGGAAGATGATTTAACTGAGGTCCCAAGATGAAAACGTTGACAAAGTCAGAGTGTTTACAGCCGTGATGGTGAGAACCAGGAGCAGATTCACAGATTAGGACGTGTAGAAAGTTAGTACGCGTGCTGGTGCACACATGTCTGTGTGATGGATTAGTCCCAAGACAGATGACCTATCCCTCTTGGAAAAATGGTTCCACTTACTCTGAAGGAGAGAAGTTACATATTTAGTTATTTTGGGAATAATAGACTATTTGTCCAGCCAATGAATGATTTAAATGTTACGTTACTGTCAGATCATATTAGCTTTGGTTTCGTTTTTAAAAGATACCGCAGTGCATCTTCATTTGACCAGGACTTATAATACAATGAATTACAATAAAACACATTGACTGCGTGGCCCAAACCTTACGTAGCGTGTCACACATTGCAAAATAAGACGTCAGTCAGTCAGTGAGCAGACCAGTGCAAAGGCTGACGTTGTGTTTTATTATTATTAACGACTGCGTGTAGTTTACTTTTAGTCAAGCACCACATACTGCATATTGTCATGGAGATGAAAATACTCAGGAAATATGTCTCCATCCAGGCTGAAAATAGTCCCAATGGAAGCTAATGTCAGGCTCACTGAATGGTGGCCATTTTTGTTCCACTCATCTTGACTTTTTGAGATATGAATATATATATATGTATATATGTACACACACACACACACACAGTCTATATACTATGTATATACTACAACGCTGGTGTCAGTCTGTCCGAGGTTTTCCTCTCATTATTCTCTCATCATTCCACTTGGCTCAAGTGAAATTAGCGTGAGCACGTAGTTTACAGAAAAAAGATGCAATCTCGAAGATTTGCGTCAATCAGGAAATTTGTATCCATTCTGCAAGCTGCTGTGTGTGTGTGTGTGTCTCTGCCGGGTCTAGTTTAACTGTAAATTGTGTTCTAGTTATTAAAGGTTGCAGGTTTGCAGGGATATGAGTTGGTCTAAATGTTCACTTCAGATATTTTGCGGTTTGGTGTATCACACAAACACACAGTCACACAAACTCACAGATGTGCGTCATTGATGTTTCACATGAATGAGTCAATCTGAATACTGAGCTCACTGACATTAATCAGTGGGCAGCAGCGGAGAAGTCCAAGTTTTCCAATAACCTACTTTCCAGACAGACAGATGAGAGGACTGAGTAATGGTTTTGGAGACAAAGAGGGCCGAAAGAAATGAATGTAATTGTGTATTTGATTGTGTATGACTGCTGGACACAAACTCCAGATTGTTACCTGATCCACATCTAACCCCATTTATCCTCTTCCTCTGTCAGGTTCTTCTGGTCTCCCCTACTTTCTGGCGAGCCGTAGTGACGTGGCCAGAATCGATCCAAAGGTCTGCACTCGTCCAGGTCCCAGGGGGTTGTGCTTTGGTCCTGGCTGACGTTAGCCAGGTCAAGTCCATCTTTGATTTCACACGCTCTCACACACTGCAGCCCGAGCCTTGACGTATTGATGAGTGAGCGGCAGCCAGCAGCAGAAAACCTCCCTGGTTGCGCATGTGTGTACCAGCTGTGGGACCCGGGGACCAAACGTCTGACACGCAAACCCTGTGACCCGGGGATACGGGGTTCCTCGGCTGAGATCACAGCTGGATCTGCCACAGGTCCGACATATTTGGAGGGGGGAAAAAAGACGGAAGCCATTAGAAAGCCCCTTGATTTTCTCCAATCTCCAATCAGTGGATTAACTGCGGAAATAAATGGCTGTGCCTCTGACCGGACTCCACTCGCGTGTCGTCCAGGTTGCGTGAGCCCTCTTTCTTGTGTCTCAATTTTACTTCCATTACTCAGCAACGAACAAGTGTGACAGCGTGCTCAGAAGAACAGAGGTAAGAAAATACACAACGCTGAGTGGTGAATGTTAAAACGAGGCCAATTTGATGTTGATTGCCTGCTGAGCAATGAGGTTGCCGAGTTTACACGGCCACTCAAAAGGCTGGGGAGGGAAGGGGAGAAAGATCGAGGGACAGCGGAGGAGAGGAGTGAGGCTGTTAACTCCCTTTCCATACAAGGAGAGGCAGGGGGAGAAAAGAGGAGGGGAGGAGAAAGCGAGAGGCAGTGAGAAAAGGAGAGGTAATATGAGGAGATACAATGAGAGAGAGAGAGAGAGAGAGAGAGAGAGAGAGAAGGGAGGAGGAGAGAAAGGAGATACAGGCAGGATAGAGAGATAAAGGCCAAAAAGGCTGCAGTGGGGAGGAAGAGAAGAAGCGAATAGAGCTGTTTCCTCTCTGAGAGCCGAACAGTGTGATTCTGCTGCAGCTTCTCCAGCCTCCAATGACTGACTGAACCAACGCAGGTAGGAAACCCGCTGAGACTCCATTCATTCTCCGCACCAGAGTCTGAGAGCACACATGCAAGTGTGAACGATCCCGTACACTTAAAAATAATTATATACATTAATATAGGTAATAAAGTCAAATATGGGATTATTAGTACTGATGCTTTAACATGTTAACATATTGGAGATTATTTTCATTTTTTTCTTGTATACATATGAGGTTAACAATGCATCATGTTTCAGAGATATATCTTTTTTTTAATGTTGATCTTATTAAGTAACCGTTAATTAAAGCCGTTGGTAAGGGAGTACTAGTAAGGGAAAGTACAACTATCATAAGGTTATCCCATATGTGTGATGGAATTATGGTTTTGTTTGTTGCGACAATGAACACAAATCTATTGCCATGTTTTTATTGATTCTTGCATGTATTTGCAATCAGGTAATCTTACCTTCATTGCTACAAATTGTTTACAATATCGAGATATATGTCTGCTGTGTCCATCCACCCTATTCTTTTGGCTGAAATTGTGTATATACATGGATTCAGGCAAAGCAGAATATGCATCCCCTCCTTACTCTTATCTCTGTCTGAACTGCTGCCTCCCCATTAGTTGTCATGATCTTCCCTCCTCTTGCGTGTCAGTTTTCTGACCTCCTGTTGTGATACATGCACAGCTGAACGTGTTTGTGTGTCGATGCATGCGTGCCGATGAACATTACAGGCCCACGCGGGTGTTTTAAAGGCTCATTCAAAAAATACTGTTGCATTTCTTGTCTCCAAAATCCCACAATCTACCACTCTCCTATTTAAAATATTTTTGAGGAAAATCTTCAGCAGGTCTCCTCCCCGCCATCCCCTTGTTAAAAATCTGTGCTTGTGCATGCATACCTGCATGCCTGTGTATATGAGCAGAGACAAATGTGTGTATTATCTCTGCATGAGTCTGCTGTAATTACACAGGGAAGGTGCCCATGGGTAGGCACCCGCCACATTTGGCCCCGCGCCACATCCCCCAATTTTATTGTGTCTTGCGTCTGTCTGTCTGTGTTGACTGACGAGAGCAGGTCTGTGTGGTGTGACTACACACTGTACGTGTGTGTGTGTGTGTGTGTGTGTGTGTGTGTGTGTGTGTGTGTAGGTGTGTGTGAGAAAGAGAGTCTACTGAAAATAAGTGCTTTTTGTTTGTGTTTGCGTCAATAAATGCCATACAATCTTTCATTGTTGCTGCATGTGTTTCCAGGCGTGCCTGCAGATATCACCTGTAGCACATCTGTGTGTGACAGGGGGGGAATTCAAAATATGTCTCTTTAGTGTGTTTTAGGGTCAGTGTGACAGGTTCAGAGGGATGATCGAAGGCTTTACTGAAGCAAACGCTTAGGTTAAGTTAGGGGTGATCTGGTAAATGGTTGTTACGGCAACCAAATCAACATGGCAGCCATTAACAGGTTGCACAGTATGTAAAATAAACCAACCAATTGGAAAAAGAAAGGTAATGTATTGTGCATGCGTGAATTGACAGTTTAAAACATTCACCTTCGTTGTCTGGAATGTGTGTGTGAACAAGGTTGACCTAATTCTCTACTATAAAACATAAGGAACGGAGCTAACTGGGCATCAGCAGTTAAGCTCACGTGACAAAATCCTGAGGTGAACTTAACTCAAGCACAAAAAATACAACGAAAAATCCCCAAGGAAACAGAGTTACCTTGTGGAACAAGTTGCATAATTAGGCATTTAAACCTGGAGCTTTGTCCGTCCCCTGCAGAGAAGCCAGTGAGATGATTCGTTGACTGAGCAGTGAGATCAAAGCCGGGCTCTGTGTGTCTCTATACTCAAGGTATTTTTACAGCTGGCTGTTAAAACTATGCAGTGGTTAATATACATTTGATGGAGACGGGGAATTGATAAAACACTTGGTTAAATAAGGCTGCAGTCAAAAAAGAGTCAGAGTTTTGCAGCTACATTGGCACAGTATTGTCTGACCTCTGGAAATAGACTTCAGGGACAATGAGCAGCTTGACATGACTGTTAAGTGTGTAACTTACGTGTGTGCATGGGAGTGTGTGTTGCCGTGCACATGTGTGTTATTGTGTGCCCAAATTTAACTGTCTGCATTCTGCAGCTGCTTGGGTGTTTTGTTATAGTGCAGTTACCAATAGAAACGCCACACAAGGCTGCAGCCACGAAACACACAAACGCAGAGAAAAACACCTATTGATTCATGAGAAATTATTTTTTATAGATACAATAAAACCGTGTCACTCTATTGCCAAATTACTTCTGTTTGTTTCCATGGATGTTTTACAGCTCCCACTTTAAAAATAAATCTGGAATAAATTAGCGGGGCATTTGTTGCAGCACAATAGAATAGCTTGTCACTTTTAGTTGTTAGAGAGCAGTGAAGGTAATGAAAATAAGGGTGTGAAGTGTAAAAAGGATTGTGCGATGAAAGGATGTCTGTGCAGAAAGCGTGTGGAGAGGAGACAAATGGCATTACAAGGAGTTACATTCGTCTTCTGGAGTGAGATGGAAGGTGATAATGCACTTTGCCCTCCTCGCCTCGCTGCCTCTCTCGACATAGTGAGATTATGACCGAGCCGCCGGTGGTCAGTGGATGGTCAGTCGTTGAGGTCAGTAGAGCAGCAGAGGAGAGGATTTCATGTGTCATACCAGCCCGAGAATAGAACAACAGCAATGCTGTGGCAGACACTACGTGAAATGTTTTGCCGTGTAGCCACAGATTGGGTGTGGACCAACACACACTCGACCCAGCTCTGGGGAATCAAAGTCATCAGGGACGGCAGGGAAATTGAATTTTTTTTTTTCCCATCATTTTCCACGATTGCTCTGGTTTTGTTTCCCAAATGTTAGAATCCGCAGATTTTAATTATAAAATATCCCCAGTGTGTCTAGTGGAATTAATGAAAACTCTTTCACAATCACTTTTCATTTCTCCGTCTCCTTCAGATGATGTCATCTGAGCACCTGACCTGCAGTTGGCTGCGGCAGCTTCTCGTTGTACTTCTGAAGCTTTGTCTCACTTTTGCTGGACCTTTGAGACCACTCAATGGGACGGACTGCACAGCCAAGGGTCCTGCTTCCTACATAGTGGTCTTTACAGGTCACTGGAGCCCGGAGGCATTCCCCAAGCAGTATCCACTGTTCCGGCCCCCTGCACAGTGGTCCAAGCTCATAGGTGAGAAAAAACAGCCCGGAACAAAGAGGTCGGTTATTTTATAAAATCTGGTATAGCTTATGGAACGTTTTACTTAAAACACAGAGTAATCCATTGAATTTTTGAACGCGGGACGGAGATGGTGAACCACAGTGAGATGGAGAGACACTTCAACTAAAGGAAGATGTTTGCTCCCCATCACGTGTCAGAGGCTTAAGTCCTTATAGTCAGCACCCACATATGCTCACAGACACTTACAAGGTGGTGATTGCTGTTAATGGAGCAATAAGAAAGACAGTCTAAATGCAACCAGATGGGCTGTTCCACAAACTCTTTCCAGCCATATCTTTATAATTCTCCATTTATTTGACTCAAACCTTTGCTCCTTCCCACATTTCTGCTGGTTTACCACAGTGTTGCCGGTAAACGCTGCAGCAGTGGTTTTCTGGGCTGGGGATGGTGGGTGATGATGGTTTTGGGTGTGGTGGGGTCAGACCACTTACTTCCGAGCCAGGAGGACGAAAAGAAGAAGCAATTCCGGCCCCCGTATTCTGCTTTTCTATCCCCCCCAAAACCCATGGGGCATGGGATGGCTGGCAGATGTTTGTACGTTTGTGTGTGCGTGTGCCGGACTGCTCTCGTGCATTGAAGTCTGCGGCGGCCGCGGCTTTGTCTGGTATCCCGTTCTCCCGACGGTGCCGGGGGACGATGTGCTAGTTACTCCTCATAGAGACAGACACCGGAGATTCTGATCAACCATAATATCTTTTGATGTGTGTCCCCCCTTCCCTAAAGGCATGAGAACAAAATGAGAAGAAAAGCGCAGGGGCCTCAATGGTCCGACGCTCTGCTGGTAAGCGACAAAAACAATGTTGGAAATGGAGTTTTGTCACAGCACAAAGAAAAGCTTAGCCTGTCGAGGGGGGGGTTCAAGGGGGCCTGCAATGGTTGTGCGGTGCTTTATTGTGGGTGCGAGGGTGCTGCCACAGGGAAGAGGAAATAGAGTTTGTCAAAAACAAAAATAAACGCAAGCAATTTAGGAAGGGCGGGAAGTATGCTTTAACTTGATGGGGCTTAACGTGACGTCTTATCGAGTTTCAAGGTCCTGATGCTTGTGGGAAATTTGTTAGGATGGAAATTCAATTGAGTAAGGGCGGTTTGGGGAGAAATAAGATAGTGTGTGAAGTGTGCTGGGCAGATTGTGTGCGTGGGTCGGTACAGAATGTGTGTTAATACATGTGTAGAGAGCATTTAAGTGCAACTTGTGTATGTGTGCCATTACGCAGCTCTGAGAAGTGAGGTAAGGCAGAGCCGTCAGAGCATTTGTCAGCGTGTTTCTGGCTAACCTTACTCCGCCCTTAAAACCACTGGGCCAGGCATGTGGCTCTGTGGGTTTTAATATAGCGCACCAGAACCGGAGGTGCCAGCTGTTCAATCTTAATTAAACGCTTGATAATTCAAACTAAATATGAGAATGTGAAGAAAAAAGGTTTTTCCGTTGTCCATTAGGTTAATAAGAATGATCAAAGGTAGAAGATCGTAAACCTGCCTCTCAGCAGCGATCAGTTATCAGTAATAAAAGCAGAAAAGAGGGTAACTGTAAAAAGTTCAATAAAACCAGAGACATGCATACTAGCAGATTCTTCTGAATTGTCTGTTAAATCGCAGAATGTAGGAGAAATACACACAGGCTCCACCGTGGAAATGATCTCAGCGCCTGGCTGAGGCTCTGCGGTACTTCATTGACATTGATATGCATTCCGGTGAATCAGCATCTTACCCCGGTTCTCCTCTCTCCCTTTAGCGGTCAGCCACAATCAGCATTTTCAGCTGTGGGAGGAGGGTGCTCCGGCAAGTGCAGGGGTGCAGAGCTTTGCTGAGGTCGGGGTGACGGTGGAGCTGATGAAGGCGGCCAAGGAGGCCAGGAAGAGACGCGCGGTCGGCGCCATGCACCGAACGGCCGGCATCCCTAACGGCATCGGGCACAGCTCCACAGAGTTGCTCATGCAGCCCAGGAGCTCCCTGGTAGGCACCAATAAACCCTCAGTAGAAGCACCACTCGTTCGCAAAGGAGCAAACATGCTCAGACAGAGTAAGTCACACAAAGTGTCTGACTTAAGGGGGCGCGCGGGTTGAGGCAGTGTAAGAACTTAGGGACGAATGTAGGTCACCAGACTTTGTCGCAGGCCAACACCTATTTCTAAAAACTCAAACAGTGAATGTTTGCCTTTCCATCTGCAGCCCTTTACCCCGCGTTCATCGGCTGCATGACGCATTTTTCCATAGTGCCATAACCGCATGCCTACCTCAAATCCCTTGCCTTTGTGTAAGCCCTAGGAACAAACTTAGCGAGTCTGACCGTGACCTTTAACCCCAGACTCACTCGCTGCTCCGCAGAAGTGGATCCCTGTAGCCAAGCGACGATAAACTGTGCGTTGTGGTTGGACAATAAGCCTGCAAACACATTCAAATTGTTAAGCCAGTGCTAAACTTCATCCTGAGGCCCCTCACCCTGAGCTCACAGTTCAGTGGGACGCGCAGGAGACGGAGTGCAGACCGCGAAGGATGGATGTGGCCGCTTGTGGTCGCGGGCCTTCAGCACTTGGGTTAAACATAGTCTGATTGGATAGTGGAAAGAACTGTTTTTGGTCAGAGTGTATGGGCGACGTCATGGGGAGGCTCAGGTCCCCAGATGACTGAGTAAAGATCATGAACAACCCTGTTGGTGGACATCTTCAGGTGGGTACTTGTCATGGACAGCAGCTTCACAAATTTTCACCTCGATACTTGATGTCTGTGGCTGCTTTTAAATGGGCTCGTCTGTTTTTAGATGGACAAAAATGTCGTGCAAAAATAAGCAGGTGATTATGTATGTTTTTTTTTTCAACTTGACAATGTTGTGAATGTGTTGACAGCTTCATCTGCTATTTGGCTTATCTACCGTTTTCTCTCGCGCAAACTCTTATATAAATCCTGTGCTTTTTTTCTTGCCCACAAACCAAAACATTCATACGCAATGGCCCAAGAATCCAAAACACATTTGATTCCTATCTCCATATTCATGAGCCTTCTGCCACGTCTGTTAAATGTGTAATTTAAAACAGACTGATCCTGTCAAATAAGCAGCATTCAGGATCTAACTGCCATTTACTCTTCAAGTATCTGAGTCACTGGCCCCACAGAAAAGAGGACAAGAGCTGAGCATTTACGAGCTGGCGCTACTGGAGTGAGTTGCATGTTTTTAAGGTCTCTCTGAGCCTGAAGATTAGGTGTGTTGAAGTCTTCGTGAGTGGGATCATGGCAGCTTTGAGTAACTGTCTTTGCTCCAGAGACACTTCCTGGCCTGCATATTAGAACCAACACGGACTGATCAAGTAGTAGACGTCCTTGCTGAGTGGCCCGATTGATATAGCAGGAAGGAGTTCTTGGATAAAACGCTGTTTGAAAGGAGCCTGAAAGGGGGGGAGGAAGGAAGGAAGGAAGGAAGGAAGGAAGGATGGGATCAGTGGATGATTCTAAAAAGCAACAGAGCTGCTTCTCATTTGGTTTCCTCTGCGTGCCCCACAGGCAAGAAACAAACCCCTTGTGTCATGCTGACATTACCTGCCTGCCCCCTGTCCCCAGTGGTCTTTTGCACCTGGTAAACTGGTTTGATGGTTTGTTCCAGCAATCCTAGATCCAGTGTGCTCTGTTTGACTCCAGTAGCGACCCTTTCCAAGCCCACCCAACCTTCTCCGGCCCGCAAGTAAGGAGAGTTTTTGTCAAATACGCTGTTTTCTGGTCTCCTGCCACCTCAGCGTGCGCTGACCCCGGGGCCACTTCCTGCATGAGGTCATTAGCTCTCAGGAAACATCCATCACAGTCTGAGGCTGCACAGGATACTGGGTGGGTGCATGTATGCGCAGGGCACACACAGTCTCCAGTCCTAGAGTTAATAAGTTCGATTTTTTTAATGACTCCTGACACCATCAGTGTTTTACAAGCGTATTTTCTTTTCTTTAACTTAATAGATTCTGCAAAGAGCATATACCAACAGAGAGGGGCAGCATGACACATAATAATGCTGTGAGGTAATCAAACTACACCAACAGCAGTTGATTGTTGTTTGTACTTTTATGATTTTTCCCCTACTTATCCAGAGTGTTGCTGTTAGACTTTTAATAGCAGCCAGAGTAATTACAGCAGTGCTTTGATTATTTGTGTGTGAAATCTCCATCTTAGTTTAATTTGCAGTTACAGCCAAATGAGCTCATTGGGGGGAAAACAATATTTACATAGAAAGAAATTTGAATCAATCTTGAAATAAATATTTTCTTCAGAGTGTTTTGCTCCTGGATATGAGAAGATATAAAAAGAAAGAGAGAAAGTATACACGAAAGCATCTGAGAAACCAGCCGTGAAGTCAAATTGAGCGTGGTGCGTTAAGTGGAGCGGCCAATGGCCCCCGCCCTGCTGCCTCTCCCCTGCTTCTGGCGCCGTCACTTGGATCACACCAATCTTTGCACTCAGCCGTCACTCTGATCCCAGAAACACACCTGCATAATGATTTCTGGCTGCATTTGCAACGTTTTGACGCTATCGCGGCTATAAAATCCGTCCACAGAGAATGTAAACATCCGGCAAAGAACTCAAAGGACAAAAAACACGGCGTTGTCGGTTTTGCAAGTGTTAAGTCATAAACCTGGATGAAAAGCTATGGGATCACCAGAGTTACTCAAATATGGGAATAACATATATGTCGACATACAAATGTCATGGCAATCCATTCAATAATTGTTACAATATTTCAGGACATAAAACGGCCAATGAACAGAAGTTTTCCTCTTATTAAAGCTTCATCTAACCGCCTTCTCTCTCCCCCACCAACAGTTGTCCCTCATGGTGAAGATGATCCCCAGCCCCGACTGGTTTGTTGGTGTGGACAGCGTAAACCTCTGCGAGGGAAGCCAGTGGAAACAGGAAGTGACCTTTGACCTACAGCCTTACGACGCAGGGACAGACAGTGGATTCACTTTCTCTTCTCCTAACTTCCCCACAAGCCCTCGAGAAAACATCACAAAGGTGAGGTCTCGCAATGGTCTCGCCCATTGGTTGATACGTTGACCTAATGTGGTCATTCACTCCACGTTGAGTCAAGGCAAGGTCCTCGCCTTATACTTAAAATAGGTTAGCAGTGTGGGAAAGGGTTGTCATTCTTAGCTGTCTGCACTAATGATTACTTGCCGGCCCTCATGCCTGACCTGAAGGGATTTCCAAGTAAAAAGTAAGTAAAAGGGGCCTCACTTACATAACAGATCCTTTCCCAGCATGTATTTAAAGTCGACTATGTGCACTTGAACTATTGTTGAGAACCTACCGGCTCTCCCGATACATGTTGCATAACAGTTTTTTGATGACTTGTTCAGCTCACATCTCTGATGCCGAACCATCCAGCCAACTCCTTCTACTACCCACGCCTGAAGGAGCTTCCACCTATTGCCAGCATAAGGATCACTCGACAGCACAGATCATCTGACCGTCAAATCCTCATGTCCAATCATATCCTGCCAAACTCCATCAATCCTCAGCTCTTCTCAGGTAAGTCCACAGGACTCCCAACATCTGTGGGACATGAACATTCCACCTGGAAGTTAATGACGATTATGATGAACCTACAAGTGCGTGCTTCTATATAACCAGCACTTATCGTGATTTGCACCGCTCACTCACGCTTTGCCTTTCCTCTCTTTACTCACACGTTCTGTTTTTTTCTTCTTTCTTCTCTGTTTAGCGACACCCCTGGACTGTGAAGTGTCTCTGTGGTCGTCCTGGGGTTTGTGTCTCGGTCCCTGCTCCAAAGGTGGTGTCCGCCACCGCACGCGTTACATCCTCCTGCGGCCGGCCAACGCCGGCGTCCCCTGTCCTGAGATGGAGGAGCAGGCTGAATGTGTACCACACAGCTGTAAGAGACTCCAGTGAATGCACAAGGTGCTCCGGCCCCGACACTGCCAGTGATCAACACTGGGACAAACGTTGCTGCATGTTGAGCATCCGCGGGATAATGCTATGGATGGTTTGCCACTGTCAAATTGTGGAAATGGGAGACCTGCTGCTTTTCCTTTAAAGCTAATTGATATTGGAGTGTAAACCTCCCTGGATGTATTTTAATTAAAATAAAGGGATATTGAAGTCTGAGTAGAGCAGAACGTTGAGCGTGTTTGAAATAACACTTAGAATGTGGTCAGATAAAGTTTGATATTCATCAGTTGCGAGTGCGAAATGCAAAATTTGAGGGGAAGATAAATGAGAAGTGTGTCCCCTCAAAGATCTGTTCACACTTTTTCATCATTCACAACATTTGCGTTCAATCTGACACTGATCGTTGCACACCAGAATCACACCAGAGTCTTTGCATGTAATGCATACTTTTACTGGCACGGAGGGATTGCTTTGCATAGAGAACATATATTGGAACATACAGCCCCTTTATTCTGTTCTTGCTTTGTACTGAAAAGCTTAGCAGATAGCTAAGCTTAGCTAACAGTAGATCCATTAAATAAATACCCAGGAATCCATTGCAGAGTGCTGCAAAGGGCTTTTAGTAAGAATCTTTTTTAATTTTGTAAAGAGGGATTCCTTTGCATAGAGAATATATAGATGCTTGGTACACACAGCTCCTTTAAAAATAGCCTGACATGCCGATTTATAAATATCACCCTTAACAAGAAAGACCTAGTTACGGACTCAAGGCTGTCAAATAGCCTAAAGAAGCGAGCCTATTTTATAACAAGATGTTTTTTTCAAAATGGTTTTACAAAGGGAAAGACAAATATTTGTATCGTTATCTCTTTCGAGTTTTTGCTGTGTAGATTTTGTATATACTTTATGATGTATCTTATCATGTATAACTCATGAATAAATAAGGAGGCGTTCCGCTTTTCAGTTGTAAATTTGTTGTTATATGAAAGCTTCAATTAAAACTCCCGTGAGACCAAAGAGCATTTGATATGTTCCAGTAACACTCCTTATGTTTCCATGGTGTGAGAAACCACTGTGCAAATCGTTACTGGGATGGAGTGTTGGGTCAATGGGGGACTCGGACTTGGTTCATGAGACCAACTGCTGACGGGAAGAAACTGCATCTGTAGCGAGAGGTTCTTGGTCCTGATGGACCGCAGCGTGCTGCCAGAGGGAAGGGGCTCCAGCGTCGCTGTCTAGGGTGAGAGGGGGCGGCTACCACCTGTCTCGCCCGCCTCAGAGCCCCGGAGGCAATGTCACAGTGTGAAAAGGTTATGATGCCTTGCATTTAGCAGAAAATATGTCACAGTTTTACATATTTGTACATTAAAATTATATTTATTCCACAATATCACTTAACCGTTGATGACTCAGTGCTTCATGATCCCAGTCTTTGTGGTAGCTTCTATGTAGATTGCTGAAAAATTAAATGAATGTATATGAACTTTTCTTTTGATAGGGATGATAATGATTCACTAAGGCAGAACGACCCTGGACCCACTGACCAGATCCATCACTGCTTTGAATAATTTGTAGCAGTGTACCACCTCCTAGTGGTTACGATCAACAAACAAGAACTACTACTTCCACTACTGTTAGACTCCAATTGATCAAATACATTGTTTCATTAAAGTGATTTAACATGACATTAGTAGTAGTAGAACCTGTTATATTTGGATGTTTTACCTATGGCATGAGATTTGAGAGAAGGGTGTATATCATACATTGATTCTTTCCCAGTTACATAAGCTTGCAAGCCAAAATTCCTATTTGTTTTGGTGGGTTTCTTTTTCAAAGAATTTAAATTGTATTCACAAACGACTAACAACTGTGATATAAAACATGTCTTAAGAACATATGATTGCCTTTAATATGTAAGTAATTATCTTGAATAATGTATTAACGTTTTTCTGTTACAAATATATATTATATATGTTTATCTTTCGCGGCTGCCCTTCTGACACCTTGGTTTGAGTTTTTTTGTATCTAGCCGTTTCTTATTGATAATTTCTGAAAATGTACATCATCAATTGTTCAATTAAGAAACAAAAAACTACTCCATCCTGGCTTTTCATACTGCGGGACATCTTGAAAACCAGCGCACCACGTGACCAGTGACGTAATTCACAGGCCTGTCGCCAGGGGGCGCTGTTTCCACACACTACACCTCTCCATCTCCGCAGTGCCTGTCTACGAGGAGTGCGTTTGATTGTTGCAAGGCTCAATGGCGGACAGAGCAGGATAGTCGCGTTAGCAGTGAGGACAATAACATCTCGATTAAGTGAATAACCCCCTCCCCGCCCCCCCGCTCTGCAACGTTTGAGACGGGTTCTTTCGTGCAGTCGCGATTAGTACAAAGTCGCCGCGGCAATTCTCCGCTTGTCCGTCTCGCGTTCTTGGGTTCCCATCCCAAGCGGAGAAGTTAACACCGTTCATGGTGGCTCACTGAACGCTAGCTAGCTTGCGAGCAAACCATGGAGGTCTCCCTTGAGCTGATAGGAAAGCGTCTGCTTTTGCTCCTCGACGACGGCAGGTCCGCCAACGGATCCGAGCCGGAGCAGGCTGCGTGGACCCGGGACTGGCTGCGGGGAATCGTGCGGGCGGTGAGCGTGATCGGCCTGCAAGTCCCGGAGGTTAGCGGAGTAGAGGCGACAACAACAACCACTGCTGCAGGGCTGACGGTCAGTGTTTACATACGAGAGGTGCCTGCGGGGCTAAACGCACCACCGATGGAGACATGGCATGTACGGCACCGCCTAGGCGGGCCTTTAACCCATTTCGACTCCTTTTCAACCACCGGTGTTGGCACGTTTGTTGGCAGTTAACGCGAGCCCACGCAAAGATAAGCACGCCGACGTTACAAGTTGAGGGCAGTGAGGCGAAGCTAAACTCGAGCCCGGGGATTTTATGGCCTTTGCTTTGTTCGCTTTTTTTTTTTTTTTTAGTTGGTTAACGAGTGTTAATAAACTCTAGCAGTATTCATAGTAACCTCGTAACATTATGTTTTAAAACGCGTATGCGGCACAGACAACTGGATTGACACAATACTGAAACAAATCGTTGGTTGAGTTACGGTGTTAGCTCGTCCTTTACCATCGTTAGCTAACGTTCGCTTAGTTTAAAGGCCTTACAAGTTCATATGAACGAGGAATCCCTTCGACTTTCCTCCTGCGGTCCAGATTATTAAAAAATCAGCCTAACGCACAAAACACACAGTTTTTAAAATAAAATAAATAAATCTTCTCACGCAGTTTATTGACTTAAAGTAAAATAAGCTTCATTGCTAAAATAGACAATTTTACAACACAATCTTACAATAGCAAGCAGATGCCAAGTAACGTTACTAGTAATGTCTGATTCATTTAATATGAGCCCTTTTATTTGTACCTCACTTTATAAATAAATAAACATACAATACAAATGTGATTTACTTTGCTTTATTGGATTTAAAATCATCTAGTATCAATACATGTAGAGTGACAAATGCATTATTGCCACAAGGTTGCTGCAGAAGAACCCTTTTAATTTGGTAGACAAAAATCAACTGAAACAGAAGAAATCTCTGTGAAATAACAAGGTGTATCTATATCGAGAAACAACTCTCCCTCCTCTGAGGTGCACAATAACCTCAATGGATATTTACCTGAGAAATGAGAACACTAATAAGATAAATATTAACAGGACTGGGGCTTGGTAACTATTAACTGTTCTTCTGTCATTACCTTGAACATCTACAAGATAATACAAACCATTGTGGATCTTTTGTTTCCAATCCATAAATGCAGAGAAGGTTATTTCTTCCTTTCACAACTTATTCTTACTATTAAAAAAAGAGGCACTGCGACACCTGTTCATTGAGTTTGAGACTAATCAGATGTCCTTGCTATACACAACGTCCTGGCACATCACAGGTTGCTTCAGTGGCGTGTGAAGAAAAAAAGACGGGTAGTCTAGAAATATAGAATTTCTATAGAATAGTGTCCCGAAAAAATTGCAATACTCCACCCTAAATTTCTCAAGTGTTACTGCAGGTAAAGTAGCCTACGTGTCGCTCATCAACAACAAATGCATATTTATAGAGGAATCTGATCCGGTGATTGATCGCGGAGGGAAAAGACATCGCTGTGTCTGCAACATTACCTCGCCGATGCATACGTCTATGGAGACACACGCCATCTATGTATATTCTGCTTTCAGATTGTGGGAGATCAGAGGTATAATAATGTTTAGGTGTTGGCTTGATTTCCATTTTTCTTCATCTCTACCATATTAAAAGAAAGTTCTAGCACTCTTTACATTTCATTAAGTATAAACCAAATGTCCGAATAGTGGTCAGTTTAGAAGCAAAACTGATTGTGAATGTCTGACTGAAAACAATCTCTTTTTAAAACGTTCAATTGAAACCGAATCCTACTTCAAGTGGGGAATTCAGTAAACGGATCAGCGCACAATGACACCTCTGAGGAACGTACATGATTACTGTGTCAAATGTTTGATTAAGAGAAAATATGATGTTTTTATTACACGCTTTGAACCAGCTGAAGATCTAATTGTGAAACATTTCTTGAGTCTCAGTTCAAATCATCTGATTTGATCAGATTTGATCTGAAGAAAATATTGCTACACCCTAATCGATATGGAAGGGTGCTACACAAATATCAATACTCAACCATGGCTTTGAATGTCATCGCCTGTACTGATGTGTTTATTTAACCAGGAAGACACAGCAAACGTAGACACAACTAAATAAACTCTCTGTCCACCAAGACAGGACGTTATCTGAATTTTCCCACCAAAACACCTTCTAGGTTTTCATTTGTGGGTTGCGACATATGTAGAAATATGCAGTGATTTCTAATGGAGATCTACACGTTTTTTATATTTAGTCTTGTTGAATATTGACCTGGACAGCTCAAAATGTAAAATTGGTCAGCTTTTACTCTTTCTTTCCTCTTCCATCTCTTATAAAAATCTACCTCCGTTTTCTGTAATTCGTCGATGGGCGGTGTCCTTAGTTTTTAGCAGGTACCAGTATTTTGGACCGACGAATCGTGCCTCACAACCTATTCTCCCAACAAGGGTTGTGGGAATGACCCTGCATGGTGACAGGAAGGAGCACATGAGTACCTGAATAACTTGTTACTACTCGTCTGCATGATCGAGTGACCTCGGTGACAGGAAACCAAACAAATGGCCTTTTAGTTTAAATATAACTTTTTCTTTCTGGCTCATTTGTTAAACCAACGCACATTCTTAGTTGGCTGGTCCATTTCATAGCAGGTGACAACAACATTCCCACTCTGAGTCTCAATACATGTGATTTGACTGGACCGGTCCGTCTCCCCCAGCTCGCTCTGTGACAGCAAGCAGCTGTTGTCGGTAGCTTAGACGATTCTACAGAATAATGAACCGCTGCTGTGGACACGACATCCGTGACAAATAGGTGGTGTCCTGGTGTCTTTGCGAAGTGTGGTAAAAGTCAACGGTGAAAATAATACAAAGATTTCATGAGACAGAGTCCAGCATTGGGATTTTCCTTCAGTGAAAGAAGTGTCGTGGTTCAGTTTGGTTCTTCATTATCAATCAGTTCTTACTGAAGAAGAAGAAAGAATGAACTTTGGTTGAGGAACGTGAGGAGCCATCATGGCTCCATTTGCCATTTTTTTTAAAGGCTTTGTCTTTCATTTTAAGCCAATTAATCATCAACTTTCTCTTTCTAACCAAAAAATCTATACAGCTAATGATTTGCAGGTCTTCTTCCTTTGATCCTTTTAGTTGGTTTGCTCTTGTGAGCCACATCCTAGTCTGAGTACACCCAGGCATTGATCTGTTCTGACTTCGGTATTTGTTATTAACATGCTAATACTCCCGTGTACTTACTTTATAATTGCCATAGTTGCAATAACCCAGGAAATAGACTTATTACAGTCCACATGTTTATGTTCTGCTTCCTTTTTGCTTTGTTTTTCCTGCAGGTATTTGTGGAGTTTGAGAATGCTCCGCAGAGCTGTTCGTGGGTGCAGGTGTTTGACAAGGGGGTGAAAGCCGTGTTGGTGGAAGACTCTATCGTTTGGGCCAGCCGAAGCGATGGGAGTACTGGGACTGCTGGAGCACCGGCATCGTCCACGGCCTGGCCCGCTCTGGTGAGTCGAGCCGTTGGAAACGTTCCGGGTAAACGGCTTCAGGAGTAAGCCAACCAAATACTGACCATACCATTCATGTTTTTTCCACCTGTGGAGCAGGTTACACGTGCGTGTATATGTCATCACATTGAAAAGTTCTCTGAGATGCATTTGAAAAAGTATTTTCATTTTGGATTAAACTTTAGTGCGAGCTGCAGATGCCTCTCGCTGCCCAGCAAATTAGGAATGTTATGTTATCTGAATTATTAGATATAAGAACGTCACACTCCTGTTGAATACAAAAGGAAATGATTAAGTATTTATTTACTTTGAGTTATTGAAACCATTTCCCTTTGTGCACTCTTTCTTCAGGTCTACCGCTCCTTGGTAGATAAAGTGGGTTTGGGATCATTGGTGCCTGTGGAGTATTTTGGAAACAAGAATTTTGATTTTCTACCTGATAACAAAACTGTTCAAAGGTTTGAGGTATGTACTTTTGTATTGGAGTGTAACATTGTTACTAGGTATTAGTTTATAAACCATTTTGTTGCCATTCAGTGACTGATAAAACTTTTATAATGCCATTTATTAATTAGGATATTTGTCAACTTACTCAAAACTTTTTTTATTCATTTTTTATTGGACTAGACATTTGTTACTGCTTTTGCTATTAAAAAAATAAAATCTTGGATCTATAAAGGTAAATACAGCGTCGCATGTGAGTTCCTGCGCTGGTGTTCTTTCCGGTAGTTTCCCTACTATCGCTGTGCTACAATCACATCTCAGGACTGTGGTCTGTGTCCTTGTGCAGGTGGACAAAGACATAAGACACCCTTTGCTGTTGGAGCAGCCTTCACTCCAGGCTGCCATCAACAGCTGGCGTACAGACTTCGAGCTGCAGGAGATCTTCAGGAAGGGTACGACTCGCGCGTGACCAGTTATTGTTACGCCGCTTTCGCTTCACACCTCCATGTGTTTTCTCAGGTGTCGTGTCTTAACCATCTTTCGCATGAATGTACTTGTGCTTTGAAGCGCTTAAACTTAAAAGATACAGATGGACAAACAGTGACTCTGAATCACCGGGTTTCTGATAGCAGAAAATGTAGACCAAACATGACGGTGACACAAGACGCAAAGCTAACAAATGATTGTGTTCGCTTGATCACAGAAAGTCAGCTTGGAGTATAATATAAAGTCACCTTATGTTGTAACAGAAGCTTGCTACATTAAAGTACTTTCATGCTTTTCCAATTGTTGACGTGTTATTTGAGGTATTTCATTAAAATGTTCCACATTGTAACTCTCTACTCTCCCACTCTGTTCTTGCCCTCAGGTTCGTACACTATTCAAGGACGCCGGGTTCGCGTGTACCAGCCAGAGTTTGAGGAATGCTGGGCTTCAGGGCTGGTCTCACAGCATGATCCCATCTCTCACATTATGGAGATTACCATAGATAAGGTAAAAAGATATATATATATATATATATATATATATGCATTACAAGTCGACTGGGATGGGATTGAAAATTATATTGTATACGTAAGAAATTCTTTATGAGGGAACATCAGTCCCATGTGACCTCTAAACTGCATATGTTGGATTGAAATGAATCTATTTTGTATGTATTTCCAACGCTGCTTGTACCCATTATCTACCACATAGCTATGAAATGAGATCTGGAAATGGCGAAAGACAAAAGTGAAATGAAGAAGTATCGAGTGGTGGATTTGCCCTCAATTATGCTGTGAAAGGACACTGCTTAAATTCCTTCTTTTTTCACTGTAGGGTGAAAATCAAACTGTTGATCCTCGTGTGATACATGTCATGCTAGCAGAGGAGGTAAGATTGTCTCATCGATCTATACTAAATTGGTTGCACTGTATTGCACCCTGTTTTCCCCCCTAGTGATTACTGTAGATTCCTGTGTAGTATATTTTTAAAGCCTCAAGTAATTTCAGCTTCAGAAGAACCAGTTTCTTTTTTTTTTTTTTGAAAATGTGTTGATGGCATTTCTTCTCGCACTTCCTTCCCTTTAGCTTGGTAAGAATGGCCGGCGAAGGAAGGACAGTGAAACAACGAAGGGCGACAGTGGACGCAGACGCCGGACTGCCTCCGAAGGCGATGACGACTTGAACTTGAAACGTTTTAAAGGAGCAGGAGAGGCGGCAGCTGACGGGAAAAACGGTGGCGATTCCAACAAAATGCCGGCCGAAGGAACGGGGATCTGGGGAGGAGACTCCGCCGAAAGGGTCAGCAGCACGACCAAAAACGGAAGTGCTTCGTCCCCCAATGCTGTCGCGTCGCTCCAGATGGACCAATCCAACGCCGCGCCGCGTCCCCCGTCCCACGTCAAAGAAAACGGGCGCCCCCTCCCCACGCAAGGCGCAGCGGATTCCACCACCGCGGTGTCTCACAACCCCACCCCTCCCCCACTCAAGCCAGCCCCCTCTCCCTTTTCCACCACGTCTTTCCCTTCCCTGGGCCAGATGCCGAGCCTGGTCCCCGGAGCGCCGCCCCCCAAGGCCTCCAAATCCCCCCAGCCAGACCGAGAGGAGGCCTCCCAATCCGCTTATTCCAAAACTGCTGCTCTTGTTTCCCCGGGGCCTGTCACCATTTCCTGGTCGCAGGACAGCGGCCCCAGTGTGGCCCTTTCGGCGTCCGTGGGTTTTAGCCCTAAAGTCCCCACCTGGGGAAGTCAGACCGAGGTAAGACTCATGGGATCACCACCATCATACTTCGCCGTTGTAAGTCATCCCCAATTCAGTTTCTTTTATTAATATCCCTTCGCCGTTTTGTTTCCCAGGGCTCCAAAACTGCATCCAGCTTCGGTTTGCCCAAGACCGTGCCGACTGCTTCCGTATTTGGAGATGTTACCTCTCAGACCAACGGAGCGCCTGCCGCTACGACCGCCTCCCAAGACACTTCCAGGCCGTTCGGCTTTGGCTTTGGCGGGGCGAAGAACGAGACTCAATCGCAACAAGACCAAAACTTGTTTTTCCAGTGCATGACCCAGAATTCGGGACCCAGCCCGAGCCTGGCCGCCGGTCCGACGCAGTCCAAGGACACCAATTACTTCACCGCCGTTTCTGAAAGCTTGAGCAAGGAGCCCCCGAGCCTTTTCAAGCCGGCAACCTCCGCCGAAGGGCTGAAAAAGCCTGAGCAGCCCAAAGTGCCTGAGACCCATCCGTCTGGAAATGGTGTGCTCAACAAATCGTCATTGGCCTTCCAGGGTGCGGGTGGCGGCTCTGCGGGAGGAAGAGCTTCTAGTCTAAATATTGGTGGCCCGTCTGGGGCTGCTGGAACTCCTCTAAGTACTTCCAAGAAGAGCAGTAATAATGGGACTTCTGTGGGGGGCTTAGGGCTGCAATCTGGTTTTAACACTTCAGATAGCCACCAGAACCTTTTCCTGCAGGCCCCCAAAGAGCCTGCTAATCCATTTTTGGCATATGGGGAGAAAACCTCCCACGCTTCCTTTGCCGGCCTCACAGGGGCCGAGCCACAGACCGGCGGTCCTTCCTCAGAAGGCAAGCCGAACCTTTTCACTATGGCGGAGCCACCTAAGGGGTTTCTGGCTTCCTCTTTCCCAGTAATCCCAGCAGCTGCTTCACCAAGCTCTTCCTCCTCTCCAGCACTGACGTCATCACAGAGGTCACAAAGTGAAGGGACTGCGGTAAAGGAGGAGTTCGAGGTTGGGGAGAGTCCCACATCCACGTCAGGCTGCCCCATGTTTGTAAGCACCGGCCCTGGTGGAGTGGAGGAGGCGCCTGTGTCCTTTGACCAGAGCCTGTCTCAGAAGTTTAGCCTTGAGGAAAGAGGTCAGTTGTCAAAACGTGACTCCGACTCCAGCAGCAACAGCGACCTCTCGGACCTGAGTGAGAATGAGGAGGTCCCCGAGAAAGGCCAAGTCCCAGGAGGACCACTTCACCCTGCCAAGGATGGGGCAATGTTGCAGAAAACAAAAATCCAAGGAGCCGCTAAAAGCCGTCCTCGTAACAAGCCTTTCAAAGGTGAGTCTCGTCCCCTCTTTCTTGTTGGTGGTGAAGAGTGAAAGGATATCATTAACACAAACTTCTCTCCTGCAGTGAGCCAGTCCGTACTTAAAGACCAGAACAAGGTGCGTCGTCTGAAGCAGTCCGGTGAGTCCTTCCTCCAGGACGGCTCCTGCATCAATGTGGCCCCTCACTTGCACAAGTGCCGCGAGTGCCGCCTGGAGCGCTACCGTAAATATCGTACTACAGGCGAAGACAGCGACGACGATCACGACCCAAATGTGTCCTGTCGGTTCTTCCACTTCAGAAGGTACACGTTTCTATGCCTGTGCTGCTCGTTGTCTTGCTCTGTGGATCTAAGCTTCATAGAGGAAGTCAGACTGTCATCCATCAACCATGATTTGTTACTGAATGAATTATTTTGCTTTACCCCGTGACCAGGTTGGCTTTCACTCGTAAAGGTATACTGCGCGTGGAGGGCTTCCTGAGTCCTCAGCAGAGCGATTCCATGGCAATGGGTCTGTGGCTACCTGCGCCAGCTGTGCAAGAGGGCCTTGACCTTGACACATCCAAGTACATCCTGGCCAATGTGGGAGACCAGTTCTGCCAGTTGGTCATGTCTGAAAAGGAGGCCATGATGATGGTGGAACCTCACCGTGAGTATAAAGAGACAATTTCATTCACTTTTAATCTTTTTTTTTTCTGCTCCTACATTCTGTCTCAACGTAAATGATCTTTTCTGTGTATAATTGTGTACTTTTCTGTCTGTCCTTCAGAGAAAGTGGCGTGGAAACGTGCCGTGCGAGGTGTCAGGGAAATGTGCGATGTGTGCGAGACCACCTTGTTTAACATTCACTGGGTGTGTCGCAAGTGTGGCTTCGGTGTTTGTCTGGACTGCTACCGCCTCCGCAGGAACCGGCCCAGGGAGGGTGAGTCGATACTGAATGACATTTACTGTATTAACCTAAAATAATACAAAGTGATGACCGGGTTATTACTTTATGATCCTTTTGAGGTTGAGTGGTTTGGAAACACTCACACGTAATTATGTCCTTTCTTTCAGATGTAGATGAAGGTCCAGATGATGAAGTTTTCTCTTGGTTGAAGTGTGCCAAAGGTCAACCCCATGAGCCACAGAACCTCATGCCTACTCAGATTATACCTGGGACAGGTAACATTCACGTTATGATTGGATCATGAATCTATCACTCTCCTCACGCGCATCAAGTAGTTGTAGTAGTATGAGTAAGAGTCATTATTGGTTTTATTGCCTTTCTCCTTTAGCGCTTTACAACATAGGTGACATGGTGCACTCAGCCAGAGGCAAATGGGGCATCAAGGCCAATTGTCCCTGTACCAGTCGACACACTAAACCTCTAGTACGCCCGAGTGCCCCCAATGGCATTTCACAGGTACTGTTGTGCCACATCATATATTTTTTGTTCTTTCTGTTTGATTCTAATGTCTGCTTGTGCTTGTATCAGCAGTCTACTGCAACAAGTAGTAGTGGAATCCTGGCAGGTGCGGCTCCTGGTATTGGCACCAATCCCAAATCAGAGGGAGAAACATCAGCCATTAAAACAGAAAGTACGCAAATAGCAGCACCATCAGACAGCGGGGGAGGAGAAAGTGTGTGCAGTGTCAGTAACTCAGCCAGTGGTACGTCCTCCCCCTGCAACCTCACCCAGTCCTCTGCCAAGGAGTCCCGCTCACCAGGAGAGGGCAACAGCTCGGCTCTGCACTGGCTGGCTGACTTGGCCACACAAAAAGCCAAGGACGACACCAAGGGTAAGTAGGAGAGAGGAAATGCTGAGTCAGCATAAGCTCATGATCGAGTCTGAATCAATATTAAAGGTGATGTTACATCCCCATCTTCTCACCATCTTCTCCCAGAATCCGGTTCATTTCGCTCCATGATGAGTCGAGACAGCAGGCCTCCCTTTGGCCTGGACTCCCTCAGTGCCCTTTCAAAGCCTTCTGCTTCCAGTCCCAAGCTATTCAACAGTCTGCTGCTGGGCTCCAGCATGGCTCAATCCAAACCCGAGGGGTCCAGTCTCCGGGATCTGCTCAACTCTGGGCCGGGCAAACTCCCCCAGGGGCCCGGAGAGAGTGGGGTGCCATTCCCCTCTGTCTTTACCTCAGCAGGGGTAGGTAGAAAAGTGTTCTACCAAAAGGTCAATCGGAAAATCTATTGGTTATTAACTGGAAAACTGAAAACATTTAAGGTTAAGTCTGTCAACACAAACATTTTAGATAAAAAAACATTTTATTGTAAGAATTGTAAGAATTCTATGGTTAGTGATAATGGAATTGTATTTGTGTCGGTTACTGGTGTCGTAAAGAAGCAGAGCATTCACTTGGGTTGAAACCACCCACAAAAAGAAAGACCTGTTCTTCCCCTAAAGTTCTTTGCTTGGAGGCACAAACGCATAGCTGGGTACTAAAGCAATGTTTATTTTGTCTTGTCAGAGTGACAAGCTGAAGAGCAGCCTCCCGAACTTCCTGGATCACATCATCGCCTCAGTCGTGGAGACCAAGAAGGCCGAAGGCCGACGGACCGGGGCGCCTGAGGGCGGCGAGCTCGGCGTTTTGGGCGGCCGTAAAGACGGAGTGATGGGCCTCAGTGTTCTGGAACCACATACCTCACATTCCTGGCTCTGTGACGGACGGCTCCTCTGCCTACAGGATCCCAGCAACAGCAACAACTGGAAGATCTTCAGAGAGTGCTGGAAGCAGGGACAAGTAAGAGAAAAAAGTCCCGATGTGCCTGTGAAAGGCAACGCGACGGAGCGGACTTCACCGTCGCCTGTCTAATCGCTTCTCTCTTGTGTCCAGCCCGTGTTGGTGTCCGGGATACATAAACGGCTGAAAAGTGAACTATGGCGGCCGGATGCCTTCAGTAGGGAGTTTGGGGACCAGGACGTAGACCTCGTCAACTGTAGAAACTGTGCGATCATCTCTGATGTGAAGGTGCGAGACTTCTGGGACGGCTTCCAGGTGATCTCTAGTGAGTGCAGTCTTTCCCGGATGGTTATTATTTGTCGTTGGATTGATTTAGTTGATGCGCATGACACGGTTTTATTTCAGAAATTTGAGCTTATGGGTTTTTCTGTAAAAGCAGAGCGACTACAAGATGCCGAGGGCCAGCCCATGGTGTTGAAGTTAAAGGATTGGCCGCCAGGTGAAGACTTCCGGGACATGATGCCCACACGGTGAGGAACCCAGGAGCATGTGACCTCTGATGTGCTCCAGGCTCACTCCCAAGAGTGGTCTGCAACGGGGTTTCATACTGATAACATATAATCATTTATGTTATCTGAGGTTATCCACAAAAAGAAAAAGATCAGAAATATAATGAGTTCAAGTCATTCGGGACAAATGTTAATGACATTTCTTACATTTTGAAAAATGTACATTTATCCTGTATCAGATTATAAAGTTTAGCATTTCTTGTGCATCATTTTCCTTTCTAATGATTTATATCTCATTTGGTACCTTCATGTACTCTCATAAGCTTAAAATCTTAAATGTTCACCATAATTTGTCTGTTTCTTTTTGGGAATGATTGAACCAGTGAAGAAAGATGGCTTTTGCTTATTGTCTGTGTAATAATCTACCATTTTTACAAAACCCATTTGTGAGTCTTAATTTATTATTTTGTTAGTAATAATTGTTTAATTCTTTTGGCAGCTTTGACGATCTGATGGATAACCTGCCGTTGCCCGAGTACACAAAAAGAGACGGTCGTTTGAACCTTGCTGCCCGTCTGCCCAACTTCTTTGTGCGTCCTGACCTTGGCCCGAAGATGTACAACGCCTACGGTGAGCCGATTGCTCCTCGTCTACTCGCTTAGATCCCTCATAACTTTCCATATCTATATATTTTAAGCGCTCTCTCGCTCCCTCGTGGCCTTTCTTTCCTTCAGGCTTAACCTCGTCTGAAGACCGTAAAGTGGGAACCACCAATCTCCACCTGGATGTCTCTGATGCTGTCAACGTCATGGTCTACGTGGGTATCCCTCTGATAGAGGGAGACCCAGGGCAAGGTCAGTGGAGTTAAACGCTCTCCCTTTTCATTTATTCTCCATATCCAATCCAAGACATTCTACATAATGTACGTAGACTAAAAGAGAAGCCATTTTCAAACTGAACCTGAACACTAAAGCTTATTGTCACAGCTGTTTCCTGAACAACATGCTTTTACGGTTTAAGTTGCTCCAGGTTTGATTGGCTTGGATGGGACACTGAAAAGACCCCTCAGTGATTCCCACTCATTTACATTATGACAACATTTCTCTTTCTCAGAGGCAGATATCAATGGACGCAAAGGTCTGTAGACTTTCAATTGTATTACTTAAGTAGCATGACCTTCTTTTTGACTAACTCCCCGCCTCCACTCCTCCACCCCATCCTTCTGTTTTTATCTGTACTGTGGGGGCCAGAGCACTGGGACGCATCTGTTGGCTTCTACTTTGGCATGTTTTGTAAAGTTCTTTACATCAACTTTATTAACAACTTCAATGACTTTTAGATGGCAATCAAAATTTCGTGGTGCTATATGGCGATTCTGAATTTCTTCTCGTAGATTTCAGGGTTTGGGTAAAACACTGCTTCCTTTTGTGGTCGAGTCAATAAAGCAACAGAAAATCCCCAAATTGTCACTAAATTCACACAATTTTTAGAGCTGTGCTCTGGTCCTTACACGGTGGGAGAAATGTGTCAAAGAAGGGCATCTAGCTTTGGTGTCCCTATTTCCTCGCAGGCTTCCTTTCACACAGCGACACCAACACACATCCACACTCACCTCACTGGCTGAATAGCTAAATGCGTGCACATGGTTAGGTAGCAAAGACAAACTCCCTGAGCAGGTGGAAGGCAAAGGGCCACTGGACCAAACACCGTAATGAATATGGAATATTTCTGAATAACTATATGTAATGAATACGTAATATAACTGCGGAACCAGTATATTTTCTGGCTGGACAGTTGGCTGCTGTATGATTAACCTGACGCCGTGGATGTGGACGTCATGTCAGTAGATGTGATTGCCTGGTCTGTCACCTGTCCTCTTCTCTGCCCTGGTGGTTCTCAACTGGTCCAGCCACACAAGCCCCATTCATCATAAGTCACTTTGACAATTTAAACCATTTTAATCCGCTTTTTAATCAATTATTCTGTGCACTTAAAAAAATATATTTTTGATGGCATTTTATGTTTTGCTGAATGTTGTATTAAATGCTTGGGAGATTTGTTGCACGTGAAGAGTTTTTCACGAGACGGTGTGGTAAATCAGTGCACCTCAGAATGAAACTGTCAATGGCCCATGAGTCAAATAGACCCAATACTGAGTAACGAGCCACCAGTTGAGAACAGCTTTTTGCCTCTTTGTCAAACTGTATGCTTGATGTGCATACATTACGCTATTCAAGAATCATGCTCTGAAAATGAGACTTTGATTTTTAATCAAACTGGAAGGAATTCTAGAGAGCAGCCTTTAACTTAATAATGTTGAGACATTTGCAATCGCAGCTCCAAACCTAAAAGTAACAAAAGAATGGCCCTTATAAAAAAAACACGGCTGATAATTCTCTGGTGCTGTGTGTGTGTGTGTGTGTGTGTGTTTTTGTTGTGTATTTTTGGTTCTCCAGAGGTCATGACCACTATAGAGGAGGGCGATGTGGATGAAATGACAAAGCGACGTGTATACGAGGCAAAGGAGAAACCTGGAGCTCTCTGGCACATCTACGCTGCCAAGGATGCTGAGAAGATCAGAGAACTTCTCCGCAAGGTCAGCAATTTATCATCTGATCTGAGTGCAGTATTGGTGGCTTGTAAAACATTTAATCCACACACTCGTCGGCCTTCTCAAAGACAGTGATGAATTCCCTTTCAACCTTTCCTTCATTCAAGACCACATACGTTCAATAAAAGTTGTGTTTATCTGAATCCACGTCATCCTTTACCGTACCCAAGATGTCATCAGCTGGTTAGCAACAATAACCAAAGCTCGTGGGGTTCTGATTAATGGAGGATTATGTGTGTCAGGTGGGAGAAGAGCAGGGTCAAGAGAACCCTCCGGACCACGACCCCATACACGACCAGAGCTGGTACCTGGACCAGGTGCTGCGGCGCAGGCTCTATGAGGAGTACGGCGTCCAGGGATGGGCCATCGTACAGTTCTTGGGAGATGCTGTGTTTATCCCTGCCGGAGCTCCACACCAGGTCACACACTGTTTAATTACAGCTCGGAGGCCTTGTTTATGAGTGTCCTTTTACTTCAAGGATTCCATCATCTTACATCATTGACATATGTGATATTTTTCCGCTCTCCTAGGTTCATAACCTGTACAGCTGTATCAAAGTGGCAGAGGACTTTGTGTCTCCTGAGCATGTAAGACACTGCTTCAGACTGACCCAAGAGTTCAGACACCTGTCCACTACTCACACAAACCACGAAGACAAGCTGCAGGTCGGTGTGCTTTTATCTCAACTCGTTTTTCAGGGCCATGACGATGAAACTCAAGCGAATGAGTTAAAGCATATGCTTTTATTCTACTTGTGGGATTGCCGACGGAGTGATTTATTCATACTAGGTCCACTAGTTGCTTAGAGTAGTTCAATTAAAAAGTATGAATTGATGGAAATCAACTGATGTAATTTATAGAATACTTGCCACATAAATGTGATCATAAAAAAAATCTCGTCAGTGTGATGAATCGTTGTTTCCATAGTGATGTTTTAACGTACATATTTTTTCTCTCAGGTGAAGAACATCATCTATCATGCAGTGAAGGACGCTGTTGGGACACTGAAGGCCCATGAACCTAAACTAGCACGGCCATAGTTCCTCACTTAATGTAATCCCCAAATAACCAGCCGCTGACAACCACTCCAACGTACACACAGTATACATTAAAACCTGCATACTAAAGTACAGGCTGCAGAGTACAGAGGTCGAGTGTAAGTTCCTTTGGGGCAGCGGAGGTCCGGGTTTTGGGGTAAAGAACATTTCATTTGGGGACGGGCTACTCTGCGCTTTGATGAAGTCCTTGATCGCTGTCACACAGTACGCTCAGACTTGTCTAGTTGTTTTCCAATTATACTTTTTTGGGATTAAGTCTGTATTTAAGGTCAGTGTGTTTGCTCTGTTTTCATTGTAAATGTAAGATGTGAGAGTCAAGGAGGTAAAAGCTGACTTTCCTTTGGAGCAGAGGCTCGGCTTCCATGTAAGTGACATAATGCGAGTTCTGGGCTAACTTTCCTATTTTCATGACGTTGATATTATTTTTCTTAAATAGGAGCAAGGTTGACCTGTGTTAATAGAATTCTTTTGTGGTTGGCGTTTTTAAACAGCTAATTGCTTCTGCCCGCTGGGGCTGTAATGAATTTGTGAAGCAGCCAGAGAGGGAAAGCAGACCAAAGTTTTGTATTTTGTTTTGTTTATTTCACTTTTAGAGTAAGCAGTCCTTTCTTTTGTACACCACACGGCAATGATTAGGAGGACTTCAGAGAGGGCAGGTTTGAGTTTTTTTCCCTTTTTTCTTTCTTTGGTCACCTATCTTTGTCTCATGGCCTGAATGGACTGCAGACTTCTAACAACATTGTTCAAAAATCACAATTGCAGCTGAATAGAACTACTGGCCATTAACATTGTATCAATATATGTATATTGATCTTAGCAGTCTGTTTGTTTGATTTTTCACATTAAAGTTTACAAAAACTGCTGTTTGTCCACGGTTTGTTGTTTACCCTCAATACCTCAACAAGGGTCTATATATCCACGTGTATTAAAATAAAAAACATATTAATTCATTTGTTTGATAAAGTCAAAAAAATAATAAAACAGAAGAGCAGTAAAGGGGGACATGCAAGCAAACATTTAGAATGGCTTCATCAGTCAAATATTCAAATAGGTTGTTTCAGTACAAGTCTGAATGTGTCTAAATTGATGGTCTTGGGTGGTGGTTACTGTGATTGGGGTATTTCATCTTAAGTGTAGTTGTGGAAGAGTTGAAGTGCTTCCTTTCTCATGGACACATTGTTTTTACACAATTTGAGTGCTAATGTTTCTTATTTTGCTCTTAAACTGGCCTAATAAAGGAATAATGTATCTTTTTGAATAAATATAATGAAAAATTATAAGTATATATATATATTCTCTATAAAGTGTTTTCTTCAGTTCAGTAGCAGTTGCTGTGGATGAGCCACATAGCTCCATGCAGCTGTTCACATCTGCAGGTTCTCTTCCCTGAGCCAGTTACCACGTTCCTGCAGAAGCCTTGAAGGGCCCAACCAAGCACTGGCTCCTGAGGGGGCCCTTTTCTTCCTCACGTTATTACATCAGCCACCTTGGATCTTCTACGCGCTCCACAACGTGCCCTCAGGAAGAGCTCCAGGCTCTGAACTACATCTGACGTGGTGTCAAAACAGTGGAATTCCAACTTCCAGGCCTGTCACGTGATGCCGAGGGGAGGGGCGTCATCATGTGAGGGGTACGGTTCACTGCCTTCAACGCTGCATCCAGCTCTCTTTAAATGCAGATGTTTCAGTTAACTGCAATCTACAGATTCACCGCGAGAGGCCGCCTCATCCTACACTGAACCCGTCCTATGACTTTCACCGCTCATGCCCGAATTAGTAGATCACAGGAAATGTCCTGAGCATAACTAAGGAAGATAATAAAAACATCACACCAACACACAATACAATTATTTATTGATGTTATTTACAGCGACGTTTCTGGTGTAATAATAATACACACAAACACATAATCTGCTCCGTTGCCAAGCACTCGCCGTCTTCTAATATTGTCAAATATTAATTGACCTCATTGGAGTCACGTGTGTCACTCTCACTGCACTTAATCTTCATCATTTTCCTACATTTAAAAAAATAAATAATTTATTTAGATGTTTACAGCGCAGCCCTGGCCCTTTAAGAGCCCCGTCTGCCCGTCAATGAGACAGAGCAGCTTGGAGCCAGAAGACCGCAGACATCCTCCTCCTGCTAGCCCACCACCACCATCACCATCATCATCCTCCTCCTCCTCCTGCCAGCCCACCCTCAGCCTCCTTCTAGCCCACCTTGACCGCCCAGCACCGGCCGGCCAGCCTCCCGGCCCGCACCGCGTCCCGGAGGGGGAATGGGGGTGTGGGCGCAGCGCGCTGCCCGCTAGCGGACTTCCCCGGATCTCTCCAGCGAGCGGCGAACGCTCCCGGGCCGGAGCTCCAGGACGATGGTCTCCTGGATGATCTCGCGGATAGTGGTGTGAGTTTCTCGGGGCCGTTGTTCCCACGTTATAGCCGCGCGCGCGCCCCGTTCATGTGCCCGAAGCCGACCGACGTTAACGGTAACCGCAGCTAGCGTCCGTCCTCTGCCCGTTACGCAGCGTCATTCCACCAACGCGGGGGGGAACAGCGCGGGGTGGGGGGGTAAACGGTCCCATCTGCCGCTACGCCGCCGCGCGCACAAACCGTCGCTCCGCTGTGGCGTTTCCTCTTTGGAGCCTCCGTGGATGTAGCGTTAGCTGACCCGTGCTAAGTGTAACCACCTGACCGCTAATGTGTTGGCAAGGAAACGAGCTGCTCGCTCGCGAAACCTGCTTCAAACGCAGGCCTGAGCGGACGGCCTGCCGCGAGACCGAGCTTCACGCCATCCAACGGCAACGTGGGTGCCATGACGAGGCCAAACACCCCCCCCCCTCCCCCGGGTTACAGTCAGCCTCTGGCCGGATAAACGTGCATATTTTTCAATACAACAACACGACATGTCTCTTGTGTCAGCGGTTGAGGTCCCCACTGCCTCCTGTGCACCGTGTGGATGACTCAACTACAGCAAGCAGCTGCCATCACCACCATCACCACCCTGTACCTTGTACACATGCACACACCTTGTGACCAGGATATGGAGTTAAAGGCGTACTCTCATTACCTCAATTGTACGTCCATTTCTCGTGGCCTTCACCAGGCTGTAGATCGGTAGTGTAATCCCCAGAAGCTACTAGGATGGATGTCTTTTGAAGGCCCTTGTGTTATTTGGGTTTCATCTCTTTAAATATTAGGATACGTAAATAGTGGATAAAATTGCCGCAGTCTTTTTTTGGCGTTGCTTCTCGCTGGCTCCTCCGCTTGTCCTGTATTGATGGGATGAGAACAAGGTGACCGCATACATGCATCCTAATGGCTGCGGCGTATCTAACCCAAGATCAATTGTTTGCACTCTCTATTCTGTGCATTAAACACGCCGCTGCCTCTTTTTTGGGGTGAAGAAGCGCTATAAATGACCATCTAGTCATATCTCTAGTCTCGGTGTCACAGCGAGAGGAGGTGATGCCCACAAGCTCTATGGACTGACCCTGAGATGGGGACACAAAGAGGCACAGGGCGTCTGCTAAGGGAGACGACTGGCCTAGATGCCCCGCTACCAGTCCTCTCTGCTTACTGTGCTAAGCCGAGAGGGGCTGCACACACGACTGAGCAGCTCCGACACTGACCACGATCGGGGGGGCACTCGACTGCTGATGGAAGCGTAGATGTGCAGCTGGGAGCCTACGTCGCTTCATCGAGTGATCCCCATTTAAATGTCACAAAGTCCTAACTGGCAGTTTACACTGAAAGCCGATCACAGACAAACTGGTGACTCGCTGCGCTCTGCTCGCCTCACTATCCCCTCACTCAGCATTTCTCACCCTGCATCATCAGCACAAATCACCACGGCGACACGACCAAATGCTCACCAGGAGCACAGCAAAAGCGTGCCTGGCTGAACATGGTGACCCATCCCTGGCACCATCCTGTGTAACTGCTGTATTCACAGACTCCATGAGCTCTATATTTCGTTTTTTCTGGCCGGGGTGGAGAGTGACGAGCCACTGGCCCATCATCTCTACTGTGGCAACACCATTCAAGTTCCAACCACCAGGAGCCCAATAACACAGAACGCACATGAGCTCAGCGCCAATGTTGCTAACCTGCTTTTTAAGTAGAAATAGGTTTGTCAGGTGTCAGTAAACACCCCGAGGCCTTGTTCTCAAGCTGCATCCCTCCTGTGACCCGTGCTTCCCTTTTGCTTTTCTGCAGCCTTGCCTTTGGAACGCTCTACCCGGCCTACTCCTCATACAAGGCGGTCAAAACGAAGAATGTGAAGGAATATGTGAGTATCGCCCCTCGCCGTTTTTACCCATGTGGCTTTTAATGCAACGAAGATGAGAAGGAATGTAAGTCCACGGATGTGATCTTTAGGCCAGCACATATATGACATAGTTTAACAAAAGGGCATATATTAGTCCTCCTTGGTTTTGATGTTCGCCACACTGACTATGTCATCGCTCAGAAATATCACTCAAACACCAATAACCCAAATATTAAAGATGTCTCATAACTGGGGCACAGCAACCTTCATTAAACTGGGCCCAGGAAGCAAGCAGAGGAGGAAATAGCATCAGCACTGGAGCACCCCCCCCCCCCACACACACACACACACACATGCACCAATTGCTGCTCGAGCAAACCGCCACAGAAGGAGCAGGTGAGGGACGGAGGTGCAGTGAGAGTGGAGGATGCCATTTTCAGAAGCAATGTTTTTGTTCCCCTCTCCTCTTGTTCAGAACGCTCTTTCCGTGAGTCCAATGATTCATCGTTATGTCTTTAGATGGCGTCACATTACATGCTTTAAAAATATACTAGTTGCCATGCAGTGCTTTTCTCTCGTTTTGTCACATTATTGATAATGACTTTCCACTCAGCTGAAGGCGTTTGATATTGTCTCCTAAGCCAGGTGTCTAGTTTATGGCCTTTTTTAGAGTTGACAATGATCCACTACGTTTCCTTTTGTCTCTGGCACATTTACGATGCATCGCGTTGTCTGTTTTGCTCCATTCGTCTCGGCACTCGTACACAACGGGTTTCCTGTGCTGTATTTGTGATGTGCGTGTGTGTGTGTGTGTGTGTGTGTGTGTGTGACCCAGGTGAAATGGATGATGTACTGGATCGTCTTTGCGCTGTTCACCACAGCGGAGACGGCCACCGACCTGCTCCTGTCATGGTGAGTTCCCAACTAGCCTGTAATAATTAAGCTTTGCTAATATCAACACACATTCATGTGTGTATCTCCTGCTCTTGATACTTTAATAAGATCCTTTGTATTGAAAGTGTCTTGTTGTCTCCCCTTCTCGCCCTTTTGTAAATCGCTTTGCTCTGTTCTCTCCTCTGATGGTATAACTCTGTTCCAATACCCAGGTTTCCATTTTACTTTGAGCTAAAGATCGCCTTTGTGATCTGGCTCCTGTCCCCATACACCAAGGGCTCCAGTGTCCTCTACCGCAAGTTTGTCCACCCGACGCTGTCCAACAAAGAGAAGGTGAGAACAAGTTTGTCTCGCATAATAAAACTGGTTCGCACGTCCACACTGAATTGTTCTGATTTTTGTATTTCTCTATTTACCAATTGTTCACATTGTTCTCTGTAGGAGATCGATGAGTACATAGCGCAGGCCAAAGACAGGAGTTATGACACCATGATGAGGTTTGGAAAGCGGGGTCTCAACCTGGCTGCTACTGCTGCCGTCACTGCCGCCACCAAGGTGAGTCCTGTATTCTTTTTACAAAAGGTACCTTGTATCAGTCGCATAGTCGGGACTCCCATTGGTTTTAAGCATTAGGATTGGACCAAGTGATGTGTGTGTGTGTGTGTGTGTGTGTGTGTACCGAGAAGGGCAGCAGCTTGAAGGAGAGACTTTGAACCTGTCAACTTAAACTGATGTTGTCATGAGCTTGTGCAAACAGTAACTTGTTGGTGTTGCCACATCTGTGTTTGGTCTCTCTGCAGCGACTTGCCAGTAGAACAAAGTCCTTTTTAGTTATTCTCTTTTGGACACACTTGCCCATTATGCAAGTCTTTCCTATTTCTATTCCAAATGTTTGGTTATTTTCCTCTCACTAACTGTTAAATGACATAAAGCAGACTTCTATCTTTCCAACTTTATTGGTTTGTGTATCACCAAACACGAGAATTGGCTAATTAAATGAAAATGGCTTGTTTTATGCTAGACGCAGGCGTACGGGTAAAATATCCTCACGCTGTCCCCCATCTGACGTGTGTGTGTTTGGTTTGGCGGTGATGCCCAGGGCCAGGGCGTGCTGTCCGACAAGCTACGGAGTTTCAGCATGCAGGACCTGACTCTTATCAACGCGGAGGACGAGCTGTCTCTGCACACTTCAGACGTCCGCATGAGACGGGACGCCATGGACGACCTGAGCTCGGGCTCCAGCACGCTTCCCCGGGCCAAGAGCACCCGGCAGAGTAAGGCCTCCACGCTCGCACAACCCACCCTGCTTTTTAACAGAGGCGCCACATGGACCAGCATCACAATAAATACATTCTGGGTGTCCAGTGTCCTGATAGGCTAGAGGTGCAACTCAGAGGACTTCCTTTTGTTCAACTTTTATTGGGCAGGACGGGGCCGAGTGGAGTCACGTGATTTGAAAAGCACTGGATGGCAGGGAAGTAAGGGAAAGAGGTGTGAGTGGGGGGGGGTGAAAGCATGCGATTCCAGTGGGAGAGGAGGAAGGAAGGAAGGAAGGAAGGAAGGAAGGAAGGAGGAGTCTTAAAGTGTCTCACTAAACTGTTGGTTTGTGTGCTGTGTGGGCCAGACGAGCTGTGAACTGAATACAGAGAGAGCAAAACAATGGACGAAGTGGCCCGTTTTAATTTAGACCTACATGGAAGCCTAAAGCAACTTTAAAATCCTGTCCGAAAGAAAGCTCGCTCAACTGACTGCTGAGCGGTGATCGGTCAAACAGCGCAAGTTAAAATAAAGTTTCTGGCCGATTTGTGCACAGATGTTACTTGTAGGCCAGACTTAAAAATGACCCTAACTCAAAAAATGGACTTCCTTTTATTCAGAGCTTTCAATCACATGAAAAAATGTATAAACAGAAAAAATGTATACAAATCTAAACTTACTGCTGTATTGCCAAATAATGTGACGCCGTTGTGGAAAAATGCCGCAGCAAAAGGTCCGAAGCTCCCAAGGGGACCTTCCTCCGGCTCCACCAATCAAATGGGGAAACTTCTACTGTAGACCTGATGTGGATATCTGCCCTCTGAACCACAGCTTTGTCTGGCTGTGCTCTATTATCAAGCTGTAATTCAGAACATATTACCCACAGCGATTGTTCCTTCGCCTCATTGTTTCATTCAAGTTTTATGAGAAAAAATTGCACAAGAAAATGCTATGATTATTTTTTTTTCAACTATTCATGCTAGCCAGATAATAATGTTGTTACAACAAGCCAATGCTTACAATGCGTACAATAACTCGTCCTTGAGTGATGTTTTATAGGATTAAATCCTTCCAGATGGAAGGTGAAGGACATTTACAGATACTACTTGTAAATGCTGAGGAGCGACTCAACCTTTCTGCTTGCTCAGCCGTTGTGTGAATTATTCGTTTTTTGTCCACTCCTGCAGCCCGCTCCACGTCTGTTGTTGACACGTCACACGTCGACACGTCATCCCAACACGGCTCTGACCAATCGGACACGAGGACCGAGCACTCGGATGAAGATGCAGTAGACAAAGCCCCCAAACGTAGTGCCAGCGTCCGGGCAACCAAGAAACCTGCTGCTGCTAAGACCGAGGTAGGGCCAATGAACACACACACACACACGCCGTCCTACAAAGAGTCGCTCCGTTTCCCATTCCCTTAAATCGAAGCCCTAACAATAGATGCAACACGCTGCATTTGGTTGGAAGATGGAAAGATTATACACACATTCTAATTCTTTTTTTTTCTCTTCTGGAAATCAATAGAAAACAAATTATAAACTCACACTTTGTCGACTTCAAAAGGTTTATAGTTTGTGATAAATCTGATATATTTATTATGCCCATTAGAAACGGGACATCTTGTCCATTTTGGCGAAGTTTTGTTCAGAGGAAATGTAATATGACCACAACCTACCCAAAATAACCCTGATGTCATCAGTAAAGTTATTATTTAAAATATTTCCAACCTCCTCCTAAGCATAGAAGATAACTTATAACTGTATGACACAACTCTCCATTTGATGCATCACCCAACATCCCAGGTCGAAAACCTTTGGACCTCATCTCCATTATTTCTATTCGCTATTGTCTCTTTTTCTCTTGTTGTTGTTATAAACTCTATCACACGGTCTTTACTGTTGCCTTTTTTCCCTATCCTCACTCTCCAAGACGCAAACCAAGACGGCGAAGAAGCCGACCAAGAAAAAGGTCCCGACTACTAATGCAGAGACGCCACCGTGAGGGCTGCAATCCACCTTCACCGGGCTACACCTTCTCATCCTGCAGGCCCCTTTACCCCGTTTTGTGTCCACACAGACACTGTATACGTTTTATTTATATTATGAAAGCGTTTCCTTTTAGAGAAGTGCAGGTTTGGGGGTTTTCAGCATCAGTTCTGTTATTTTACACTTCCTGTGGGTTCATCCTGGATTCAGCATTCAGGGATGTTTCTTAAGTCTAATAACGATTAATGATAAATCCGTCACCATGTTGCAGTTTTCACTTTGCTGAAGTATGTCAAGTTAAATATTACATTCTTCACTATTGGTTGTAGATTTTCATCTATTTGTCCTCCAGATTGCTGCTACGTGGTTGTTTTTAAAATAAGAATAATACAGATGTCATCTTTTTGCTGTGTGCATGCTACAAGTGTGGGTTCACATCTAGAGCACGGACATCACCAGTTAGCTTTAAGTTTGTTGTGCCCGGAGTTTTTTCTTTTCGCTGAGGAGTAAGCAGGTGGTCGGACGTGTCGAGCATTGGCCAATATTTGTTGACATCCACAATTCTCTGTCAGGCATAATAGTTTCTCCCCAGCTCATAGTATCACCACTGTGTCCTAACTTGTGCACCTGTCTGGTTTTACAGGATGACTTGTAATCAAACCTGTTTGGGTTCTTTTAAACTCTGACTGCATTTCAGGCCTCATGGCTCATTAAGTCAGACGTCCTCTGGTTGAGTCTGGCTCTGCTAAGTTCAGCTCTCATTTACAGCCTGACTGCTCTAATGTGACTTTAACATAGTTTACATCACTACTGATGGGAATGGCTGTTGAGTGTTATTCTTCATCTAGACCTCACTCTCAAGTATTACACTTCTGTTTTAACAGGGTCATTTGGTCATGTGATTATTATGAATATGGTCAGACTCTCTGCTGAAACTCTCCCGGTAATTACGGCAGACATTAAAAAGTTGTCGGGTGACATATCTGTGTTTACCGCGGTAGTGACGTTGGTATATTGTTTTGTTCAACATTAGAAGGTCACGGAGAAGCTCTGCACTTTCCTACTCCTCTCACCCTGCTGCGTGGTTCACGCTCTGCCTCCTTACCATATATTAAAAGCCAGGATGTGGACAGAGCAATATGGAACCAATGAAACCAACATCAGGTGAACGGGGGAATTATTTCCTCAGTCCTCTGCTGTTGTTCCAGATGTGGAGGAAGTGTCGGATTAGTATCCGGGTGCTTCTGGAGACACATTGGAATTCTGTTTTTGGGAACAGCTCGCTTGGTCGCTGTCCGCTGCGGAGTTCTTTTTTTAAGGAGCAATTGAAAAGCATGATACTACTTCTGCACTCATTACTGCCGTCTGTGGTGTGACCAGTAGAGGGAGACAAACCCCACCGCAACTCTCGGCAGAGTTACTAAATAATATGTAAACACACTGTAAATAGTAACCTTGACTGTATATACACACAATATGAGCTTGCTTGCCTTATTCATTCTCTGGGCTGGAATCCATTGACTTAATTAATCATTTGTGTGCTTTTCAAAATAAGTCTTCGTCTTGACGACTTATGTTCTTAAACTGGAAGAAGTGATGTTTTTGTTTAACATGTTTAGTTTTTTTTCATTCATTTTTACTTGCCTCCATCACAAAGAAACCTCTATACTTGGTCTAAGCTGATGTTTGTGTAGTCAAATCTTGCATTGTGCTTTACTCTGATTAATTAAGTATAGCCAAAAGTTAACATCTCTTTGGAGCAAATTACATTTATGTGAAAATACTTTTATTTCTATTTATTTCATCAAGATTCAGCCCTGCATTTTAATCTTGTGTTCATGCCAATTTTTGATATTTATTTACTGTTTTAAAATCCGTGTTAAATACAGGATTTTTCATTTTGTGTCATGTTTCTTTGCCAATTCTCATAGTTCCTTGTCAAAAAGCATTGCAGTGTGTTAGCTGGGAACATGTTATCTAACAAGGTTGCACATCTTCCAAAACTACTAATAAAGGAAATTCAATCTGTTACTGCTTTTTATTTAGTTAAACATTTTGTGACTATCCAGAGCTGTGGTTCTCAGTATGTGGGATTTGTTTTGACATATTTGAAATTAGCATTATATAACTTTTATTTAATATTTATTAAATAATTTAACTGGAGGGTTTTGACCTAACCTGACACATGCCACCTGTCAATCACTGCTGCCTCAAACTCAGACAATGGAGTTGTGGTTATGGGACCAATGGCATCCATCAACAGCAGAGAACTGTCGGATTTAGTTAAATTAAAGTTGTAGTTTGTCCTCTAACAGTGTTTTGAAAATTCATTTTTAATCCAGAAAGTATGAAAATCTATCCAGCACAGTAATACACAGTGAAGAAATATACATTTAATCCCCTGATGACCTTCAACACGTCCACCTCAAACACCTGCAGGGACGACACCCAGACTGGGTTGTCACACATACAGGAAAAATGAAGCAACACATTTCTTTATTCACTCCATAGCTCATATTTAGAAAAATGGACACCGCAATGTCCGTTATACGTTAAGCAAAAAGTCAAAAGTCATTTGAATGGGGTGGATTTTATTCCGTTTATTCACATGTGGTTTTCAAAAAGCCTTTGAATAAAAAAAAAAAATCAAAGCATGTAAACGTTGTATGTATGTTGCAATAAAACCACAATTGACATTATATTTGACATTGAAAACGGTAATTTCCTGCAGATAAGAAATCTCAGGTGCCCGTGTTTCGATTACGGAACAGAAGTGACACGAGCTCTCGACACTTGGTGGAGCTGTCCGCCCAACAGAGAAAGCGAGGGGAGCGATACTGAGTTCTAATATGCACGAGGTGACAACAAAACACCAAACAGTTTGAGCTAAAGGGGGCAGCCGCGCTCTGTGGAGCACAGTTGGCTGCATTTGATGCCTCTTTTAATTGAAAATGCAAAACAAATTGGTCAGATCTTTGCAGGAAATTCACATTTTAATTCAGATAATTAAGCCTTCATGGAAGCGAACACATTTATTTCCACTTACACACCCTTTCTTTAGTGGGTTTGCTGGCAGCGTGATCACGAGACACACTTTATTCTCCTCCCAGGGATCACGAGTAGGGTGATGCCTGTTAATCCAAACATGGCCCCATAAACTGGCCTGTCGGAGGCGACTTGGCCACATCACCACTGAGGTGTAAGGAGGCTTCTGTTCCTGCTACACTCAACCTCTGAGAAATATAGTTTCAGACAGCTTATGTAACATGTCAGCTAAACTGGGGAGACATTTCTCTTTGTGTGTGTGTGTGTGTGTGTGTGTGTGTGTATGCGTGTGTTTCAGGACATACAATATCAGTGTTTCAGAGGGTTAAAGGTGTTTTCAGGGGGAAGGAGCCGGGTCAGAGTGTCGGGACCTGTATCGTTCTGTTTTGATAGTGTGACGCGTGCACATGTCTGTTTGTATGTGTGTGAACATGTGCGCCTGTGTTCAGATGTGTGTTTTTGCTCTGTGTTGTGGCAACAATCTGCACATCAGAACCGACAAAAGGGTTGTACAGTTGATCATTAAAGGTTCGTAGTGGGACATTTGGTGTGGTGGTGTACCTGCATCCACCCTATTGCATGTTTTCTTGCATCGGCAAACATCCTGATGCCTTTTTATTTCCTCAGAATCACTTTAGAGTCAAATGTTTTTAGCTATAAAGTATTTGCTGCTTTTCTTCTTAACTGTCATTCCTAGACAGAGTTTGTTGTTAAAGTGCATCGTCAACATTATGGCGGACAAACGAAGCCGACCGCACTCTGAACTAAACATCGTTCCTTCTTCCTTTGCTTTGTAAAGCTTTTGTTTGCCCCCCCCCACCCTTTCTTCTTTCGACTCGTATTATTTCCTCTCATCTCTTTTATCTATTTCTATCTTCTTTTTCTCTGTTTCTCCAGCACAGTGATAGAAAGGATTGGAGGTATCCATAGCAACATGTTTGCAAGTGTCTTGTGCGAGCTTGTGTGCACGCGTGTCTGTGTGTGTGTGTGTGTGTGTGTGTGTGTGATCTAGGTAGCCTCTTGTCCCAGGCGCAATGGGTAATTACCGGAGCTTACCTCTGCGCTAATTAACCGTCGCCGTGGTAATTGGAAGGGTCAAGTGAGCAGGATGATTGGCTCACCTTCCCGCATCATACACCGCCCTCTCGTCTAACATACCTCGCTCCTTCTCTCCTCCGCTCACAACTTTGCTTCTCTACCTTCACCCCGACATCTCACCCTCCCGTCCTCCCCGGCTCCCTTTGGCCCTCTCTCTTTGTAGTACCCACCTCTCAGCTTCCTCACAGCCCTTTTCGCACTAAAACGGCCATTGCTCACATCTTTCTGTGACTTTGAGGTTATTGTCGTTGCAGATGGGAGCGGTATTGCAACATCTTTGGCTGACGTCCCTAAAAGCTTCCCTCTCCCTCCCTCTCCCACTCACCTGATTGGGCGGGCAGTTGGATGAAAACCAGGGGTGGAGCTTTTGACCTTCACAGCCTCCAGGAGTCCACAGCAGCATCTGATTAACTTACCTAATTAAGAATATTTTTTGCCTTTAGACTAAAAAAAAAGAATCAAATGACAATAGAAAAGTGGATGTTTGGAAGAGGCAGCCAGAAGAAACTGTTGCTCCGTAACTGCTAGATTTGTAAATGAGCAAAAACTGGCGTGCCAACTTAATATGTCCGATCTCCTTACCATATATAAAAAGCTCAGAAGCCTCCAATATGGAACCAATTAAACCAAAACCAACATCAGGTGGAAGGGGAATAATTTCGTCAGCCCTCTGCTGTTGTTCCAGAAGTGGGGGAAGTGTCAGATGAGTATCAGGGTGTTTCTTCTGCCCCCGAGTGGACGTAAAATGAATGCATGTATTTGAAATGTAATTAGGAAAAAGTAAAGTGTTGCACCATCAAAAAGCAATCAACTAGATACAACGTATCAATGCAGCATCACAAGCAGTAAACTAACTGTCAAAAATCATGAACCATTTTATCAAACTTATCTCCATTTTTTTAGTGAGTTAGTATTTGTGTGATATAGAGTGTGAAGGTAATGATATTGTAAGCTATTATTTCACTGGTGTTCCGGTGTAGGTACTTTTATTGTGAAAGAGGGGATGTAAAGAGAGGAAGCAAACAAAGGTGTTCAGAAGTGGGATTGAAGTGGCCATCGCGGTGCAGAAACAGCTCTGTGGTCATTGTTTTATTACTAAACTGAAGTGTAAGCTACAATATCAACCGATGCTATTCAGGTCTAACCTAAGATTGTTAGCATAACGTTTTATTAGGGCTGTCAAAATGAACGCGTTAATCTATGCAATTAATGCTGAGATGAATGCGATAAAATATTTTGAAGCTGTTAACGCAACTTTGTTTTCTTCCGTCACCGGAAGTAAACAAAGTGGACATACAGCGAAGAACTGTGCAGAGGAATTCCTCCATGTGTCCAACAGAAGGGGGGTGAAGGGGAAACAAACCACTTTATGCACTGCTAGGCTAAGCTAGCTGCTAGGCTATCTCCATCTCAACATCTAACCTGCACCCATCACTGTGTCTCTAAAAGAAAACGTCCTGGCTAAATGTGGGGAGATTGTTGGCTCTTCAAACACAGCCGTCAAATGATGGAGAGTTGAGAGCAAAGTGCACGAGGACAACAAGAGTCACTAGTTCAACATGTTCCACCAGGTGAAGTTCTGTTTTGGAGATGGTCAAAGTTTTTTGTGTTTAAAATACAATTAAACAACAGTGTCTGAAATACATGCTTCCTAAAATGATTACTTGTAAGTCTTTAGAAGAAAAAACAACTTATCTAACTAATCATTATTAATGGTGATTAAAGAAGTTCAAAATGTGCGATAAATTGGTAAAAATCTTTCATCTATTGCCAGCCTATTAACATATTTTATCATTTATATTTTTGTTATTTGGGATGTGGGAATGTAGTCATTTTCAAATAGCACTGAACAATTCTAGAACATATTTTTTGAGTATAAAGGGGTCACACTAAATGAAGCTAACAGTGTTCTGATAGCGGCAACAGTCCCACCTTGCAGTAAGTGGGTGTAAATCACTGGCAGAAACAAATATCTACATACGACCATGTGTGGTGTCACACATTTATATCTGGTGATAAATGAATCTGCACTCAGCAAACAATTATAGCTTAAATAGACCAGGTCGTTGGTTTGTGATTTGAAGACACTTGGAGACAATGGCTGTATTTTAATCAGGCCTGGAATGACTTAGTTACCACTATATCCGCCACTGCAGACCTGGGATTTATTCCTGTCACAGGTCTCTGTCCTCCATTTCTTCTCCTCAACGTGTTTTTCACTCCCGTGTCCAGTTGTTTAATGAAAAACACAAATGGAGTCACTAGTGTTTGAAATACAACAATTCCTCTTTAAATGGAGAAGGGGATTATTGAAAGGTTTCCATGGAGAAGCAGTGTCAGATTTTTGTCTTTTCGTCCTTAAACTCTCAAATCCAACTGTATATGTCTTCAGAAATGCCTCTGTTATACATGGACTGCCCATGTCTTACCTCCCTTCTGGTAAAGAGCTGAAGGTTGCCAGGGTTTCCGCTACTTGCTGCGCACCAGACTTCTTCTCTCTCTTCTCTCCCTTCTATCTCTTCTTTGGGTTTCAAATTCTCCTCATCTTTCTTGTTCTTCCGGCTCCTGAAAAGAAATCTATCTGCCCTTTAGGGTAAAGAGTAAAAAATGGTCCTGCAGCTGAAAACAGACAGAACAATGGATAGAGGTTCTTAGGACACAGGAAGTAGGTGGGTTGTGGAAACTAAGTGTTTATGGGGGCACCAAGGTGAGGGGGCATTGAAATCCTTGGTGATGGCAAAAGAGTGAACCGTTAACATTCGGAGAAAAGAAGTGAGGCCGTGTCAAACGTGTGGTAAAAGAGAGGTCGTCGGAGTCAGAGTGTGTGATGCACATAGATCAGAGGACACGGTGAAAAGGGATCCGCAAAGACAGATTGATGAGGAA